ACTTGTTAATCATGCTAGCGACATGCTAGTAACTTGTTAATCATGTTAGCAACATGTTAGTAGCATGCTAATCATGCTAGAAAAATGGTAGCAACATGTTAGTAACTTGCTAATCATGCTTGCGACATGCTAGTCATTTGCTAATCATGCTAGCAACAGGCTAGTAACATGCTAATCATGCTAGTAACATGCTAGTAGCATGTTAATCATGTTAGAAACATGTTAGCGACATGCCAGTCACTTGCTAATCATGCTTAGGCTAGGCTTTCTCAAGACAACCTAAAGTTTGTCTTGACAAACTTTTTCATCTAGTTCAAAGAAGACAATCTGCAGATTATTGCAGAAGTGAAATAATAAAAAAAAAATGAAAGCATAAAAAAGTTATAGAAGTTTAAATTTACTGTAAAGAAAATGTACTGGACTATTTTTATTTTATTTTATCTTATATAAATATTTTATAAAATGATCTATCTAAATTTTCAAACTTCAGGCTTTTACAACTGCTTTAAACTTTTAGGCTAGGCTTTCTCAAGCCAACCTAAAGTTTGTCTTGACAAACTTTTTCATCTAGTTCAAAGAAGACAATCTGCAGATTATTGCAGAAGTGAAATAATAAAAAAAAAATGAAAGCATAAAAAAGTTATAGAAGTTTAAATTTACTGTAAAGAAAATGTACTGGACTATTTTTATTTTATCTTATTTTATAAAATGTTTTAATCCAAAATTGCTATAAAATTAAAGCCATATGCCTAAATAAGTTGTGTTCCAAATTTTAAGTTGATATAAAATAAATTGAGGTTCCTATGCAATTTTGTTTTGCGTTATACCACAAACAGCCACTGGGTGCCATCCAAACTCCATTGAATTTTTTTTGATGCATTTTTCTGTCACACATGTATCAATTTCTCTCTCAATATTACTTTTTTAGCAGCATCATATGACCCCTTTAAAGTACAGTTTCCATGGTAACGCAGTGTCTGATTTCAAAATGGTTTTCACAGGATGAATTTGGAGGTTTTAAGCTTTGAAATGATATATAATTTATGATGATTACTAAAACGTGTGATAGGGAAAAAGGAAACGAAGAAGAATTTTTGTGACAAAGGTCAGAACTCCTGTTATGATGTATATGTTTTGAGGTGCACTCTTGTCATAAATTAATCCATTACTGTTCCTACATATTTTTTAACAACAAATAGTGGTAAAATATCTATTTAGGACTCTTAGACCTTTCCAACAATATATAGTTTGTCATGATTAGATTAGGATTTAACTGTAATATATTCAAGTAAACTTAGGCGTCCCGCATACAGGCACAGACGGGATATGGAGGTACACAAAAAAGCAAAAAGTAAATGATTTCTGAAGGATTTTAAACATTATAATTCATGTTAAAATGTAGCGTTATAGACTGGGGACATGTAAAAAATGCTATTTTTCAGTGTTTTGGGTAGTTTGAAATAATTTTTAAAAATTATATATTTTAAATTTGCAGTTGGCTTAATGTGAAGGACACTTTGCTTAATAATAAAATGTATTTTATAATTAATCTTAATGCTATTTGGACAAATAATGTCCTGGGGACCGAAATGGCACCCATTTAGTGGAATAGCTACATTTCAACTTTCTCCTCAGCTTTTTTTAAGCTTTAGGTTACGTATATAGCTTAGTTATAATTTATGTAATTTTTTTTTATTGGCATGCTTCTATCGCAAGCGACAATACAGGTGAGAATGAGCCATAGACATTTATTTATACGCAGCCGCAGGTTTCCTCTGCAGGAGAAAAGATCTGTCGACTCATTTGTCACCGCCAGGACAACCGGATACAGGGGATGCCAAAGGAGTTAGCGATGCTAGATCTCGATTGCCGTAATGGGTCCCCAAGTCCATTTGGAATGACCGTTGACCTTCTTCTGGTCAAATACTTAAGGTAGGTACCTCCACCCATAGAATGATGGTGGAAACCAATGATAGAAAACAGAAAACATCATAACAAGACGTCCCAATTTCCTGACAGTTCCCACCACCAGCACAGGTTGCCGCCGGATGCCATCCCGGAGCCCACTGTTGCCAGTGAGCCTTTATTCATGGGGAATACCCCCCATGCCTGTCGGCCCACATTTGGGGAATTTGCAGGGGTCAGCACGGCCGGAGTGCAATGGCCGAGCCTCGCCCTGGGTGAACCACCTTCTTGTTCATGGTGTCTCCCCTGCCAGGTAGAATATATAATTGTATATAATTTATGCTTTTTATTTTGTAATGTATGTGTTATTCAACACTGTTACTCTCCCAACTTAATTGTAGCAACTCTGAATTGGCAAGTAAATAACAACTAAGGCAAGGGCACTAAACGTTAATTCGTTTGCCAACAGAGTTTAATTTAATAAATTTCAGAATACAGCCTGGTGTTATACACCTGCAAAAGTACCTGCTGACATCCATATTTAACTGTGTGTCATAAAAAATGTATCACAACCTGTTTTTCGCTTGGGATCTCCCTCTATTGCGTTTAAAAAAATTGACCCTTATGGCTGGTTTTGTGGTCCAGGGTCACTTTTTAGTTCTTGGTGCAGCTAACGGTGGCTGAAATGTATATTTAAGTGATGGTATTTTCTATATGCTCTTTAAATCATACTAAAACTTACAGCTTCCTCGTCTTGTGTCAAGGCGATTTGCATACTTGCCATTTTCTCCTTCCTTACGCCAGTCACCACCCTGCCACCTTGTGCAATCCTATCTACCCAGTCTGCATCCTGCAACATTGGAAAGGTTCAATTTACTATTGCATACGTGTTCAAACACTACATCATATCATGAGTACAAACTCATTGAAATACATGAACTAACTGTCAAGCCTTCCACAGCTCCTGGACTCTGCATGTGACGAAAGACCAAGAGCGCCTCGCAGTAATAGCGGTACAGCGTCTTCTCTGTATTTGAGACCACTTTGCCCATAAGCAGATTCTCATGGATCCTGAGGAAGTCTGGCTTTGCCACTCTCAAAATCTTCTGGCAATCTTTAATGCAGGGAGTGCCATCAGGTCTGTGTTTGGATTAAACATAACAAACAAGACTGGTTATTAACCACTTTTTGAGCATAGACCTGAAAATGATATTTCCAACTTAAATTGGTATAAATTTTGAATGCTTTGGAGCAGTGACTTAAGGTTAGTCTCTTTTTAAAGAAGACACTTGATCATTGTAGAGGCGAAAAAAGTTATAAAAATGATATTACTAAAAAGTTATGGAAGTTTAAGTCTACGAAAATATAAAAAGTAAAAATTACAATATTTAAATGTTATATTGTATATATATATTTTGCAAAACATGTTTTGGTCGAAAATTGCTAGAACATCAAAACCAAAATCTTAGCAAGTTGTGCTCCAAATTAGGGTTGTGACGGTGAGGAAATTTTCCCACCGGTTAATCGAAGTGTGACAACACCGGTAATACCGGTATCACCGCGGGGGCGGGGCGTTCCCTCTTTTCCTTCGCTTTTAAATAGCTTCTAAAAGCGGCGTGCGCATTTTACTTTCACTTTGAAAAAGCGGCAATTCGGCGTAAAGCAATTGTTCGTTTGAATTTTCCCTCTTTTCCTCGCTTTTAAATAGCTTAAAAGCGCCGTGCGCATTTTACTTTCACTTTTGAATTAGCGGCAATTCGGCGTCAATTGCTTGAATGCAACAACAAAATACAATGTCAAACTCACTTTAGCCTATATATAAAACATAGAACTTTTATTAACAAAACTAATAAAAATACACCATGCTATAGGGCAGGCTATGCCTCATATAAAATAACTTGCATAAAGTTTAAATAGGTATACAATTGAGCAGCCATGTTCAGTTTTAATTTTAGTGAACAAATGATTTTTTATTACTATAAAAAAAATCAAAATGACGGTGGGGGGGTCGGTGCCGCGGTGGGCAAGTGACGTAACCGGTGTTGTGGCTTAACACCGGTATAACCGTCAGCACCGTCTATCGCGGCAAGCCTACTCCAAATTTGAGGTTGATATCTTAAAAAATTAGCTTTCAGTGAGATTTTGTTTGGGTGAAGTACCAAGCTTTTCCACTAGATGACCATCAAACCCCATTAGTAACCATATAAGGGCGCCTCCATTTCCATATATGGTTTAAGTGATCCGAAACACGTTTTTCCATACATTTCTCAATATTTATGAAGTAGACACCACATTCAGAAGTATAAAGGACAATATGGCAGTATTTGATTTCAATTCACCCTTTAAAAAAAGACATGCGATGAGAACCATGGATGTGCGTTATAGTTCATGCTGCATCAAAAATGTAGAAACTTTTGTTTTTTCTTTATATTCAAAACCTTTTTTCTCAAAAAAAATAAAATAAAATAGAATGGATGTTATCTTTTGAACACTTGACATGAGGTTTTTTACTGATTTTTCATGCATTTATATGTGCTTCGCTATTTCTAAATAAAGATCAGAACTCGCTCTCTGACTGTGATGAGGACTCTTCTAGCAAATCAATAAATTACAGTTGCTCTGTAAAATAATTCAAAAATCAGTCACCAAATATGAAAACTCGATTCTTTAAGCTGTCAAGATTGCTTTAGGTTCAGACTCAGATATCCTCCATTTCCATATATGGTTTAAGTGATCCGAAACACGTTTTTCCATACATTTCTCAATACTTATGAAGTAGACACCACATTCAGAAGTATAAAGCACAATATGGCAGTATTTGATTTCAATTCACCCTTTAAAAAAAGACATGCGACGAGAACCATGGATGTGCGTTATAGTTCATGCTGCATCAAAAATGTAGAAACTGTTGTTTTTTCTTTATATTCAAAACCTTTTTTCTCAAAAAAAAAAAAAATATAGATTGGATGTTTTTGAACACT